CTGCTGAGTTCTGGAATGAGGCCCAACTGTCTCATTCTCTATGCAGCCTGTTCTGTCCTCCCAGGGTGTGAAGTGAGTGAGGAGCTAAGCCCTCCGCCTGGGAAGAGGGGTATGTTCGAGACATAATTGCAGGAGAGCACACTGGCAGCAGCCGAGAAGGTAGTTTCTGTGACTTGCGGATTTACTGCCCTCCTATGTGACTTTTGCAAGCCAGCCTCAGTGCAGAGTTCCGCCCACCCACACCTCCTGCAAGTCCTTTCTCCAGCATTATCTCGTGATTTCCCACCAACCCTGAGAGGTGTGCAGGCTAGGTTTTCTCATCCCCCTCTGACAAGGGCGGAAACTGAGGCCCCCAGCGTTGAAGAGGCTGCCCAGGGTCGTGACCAGTTAGCGGTAGGCCTTTGACTAGGACACCTGCTCAGAGATAGGAATTTGGCGAGTGAAGGGAAAGCTCTCATTTCTGTTCAGAGTTGTCTCAGGCTCTTTGGCGCTTTCTAAGAGGGAGCTTTCTGAGGTGAGAACTCAGGTGGCAGGTGGAGAAACACGACCTGAGAAGGCAGTTCCCTTGTCCAAGCCCACGAAGCCTTGATGGCAGGTCAGGACCAGGAATCGGGCCTCCTGACGACCTGCCCTTTGATGCATCAGACCGTAGGTTAGGTAATTGGGGGGCTGGGGATAGGCATGTTTTGCATATGTGTATCAATGTTTCAGCATTCTCTTAATTTTTGAATCAGTGTTGGCAATAATATCCACTAACGATTGAATGGCTCCCATCTGTTCCCTCTCTGGATGATGCCCTGGGTGACTGTCCTAACCTTAGAGGGGTCCTCACTCTCACCTTTGCCCCATAACCTCACTGGATGACCTCTGCACTGGTGGGTGAGGGGCCCGGGGGGGGAGGGGGCTGAACTTCTGGCTTTGGAGCCTTTCCGATGGGCAGGCAAGGGCCCATCCCTGTCACTGTTTTCACCTGCCCGTGAGTCTGCAGGTGCTGATGGACATGATGGAGCAGCCTCAGGTCTGGCCTTCATGTGTCTCCTCTGGGGACAGTGAGCAGGGCATGCCTGCATGCAAACGTCCACTCCTGTTATCCCCCAAAGCCCAGGGTAATTCTCGGTCTTGATTTGCCAGTAAGTATTGGGGCAGTTAGATGGCGGACCCCTCCAGCAAAAACTGTGTTGGTGGGAAAGACAACAGTCCCCGCCTGCTTCTCTTTCTCCCTCCCTCCCTTGTCAGATCAGAGAACTCGGGGAGAGGGTAAGGAAAAGGACAAGGAATAATATGAGTAACAGCTGCATAGTGTCTTCTGGAAAGTGGAGATAATCAGAGAGCTGTTGTAAGTCAGTGCTTCTCGGCCCTGGCTGCACATCAGTCACCGGGCAGCTTTTAAGTACAGTAAATCCTCACTTAATGTCATCGACAGGTTCTGCAACTTTGAGCTAAACAACATATAAAGCAGCCAATTTTGCCATAGGCCGATTGATATAAACAAGAGTTACATTTCAGTAGCATCTCATTGTTTGTTGTAATGAAACGACATTACTCAAGGACATGCTGCATCCGGATTCCCAGGCTGCAGCCCAGGCCCAGGAGATCAGAATCTCTGGAGATGGGACCCAGGCACCAGTAGTTGTAAATTCCCCACAAGACTCCAACGTGCAGCCAGCATTGAGAACCACTGCTCTAAGGATGAAAAGAATTGGCTACTTGCTTAGAACAGAGATATTCCCACAGCTGGCCGTGCACTGGGATCATCAGGGGTTTTTTAAAAATTGCACGGATTCCCTGGCCACACATTGCAGACCATTTCAATCAGTGACTTCTGTGTCTAATGCCTCTTGCTCAGCCTTCACCTGAGCCACAAACTCATAGTCATAATAGCTACCATTGATTAGTGCTGACTATGGGCCAGCATTACAGACATTTCCAGTCTTCACAATTCCCAGTCTACAGATGAGGAAACTGACACTCAGAGCAGGTAGCCTCTGACCACAGGTGACAGAACCAGACCTGTCTGACCTTGAAGTTTGCTCTCACTGCCCAAAGCTTCGTGGCCTGGGGGCTGGCCCTAGTGGGGCACATTCTCCACTCTTTCCAGGAACAGCTCAAGAAGAGAGGAAAGCCAGCAAGTGTCCCTGGATCCCCTGAGGCTCCCCAGGGCAGGTTGAGTGGAGGACCCGACCCCGGAGAAGAGGGGGAAATGAGTGCTGTTGCCTGGCCTTTGACTCCGCGATGGTCACCCACTCTCAGAATACCTCCTTTTGGCGGGAGGAAGATGCCTGCACGTTAGGCCTGACCCCCAGGCACCTCTTATTGCCACAGCTGCTCGCACAAAGAGAAAACTCAACCAGGGAAAGCAAACACTCATTTGCTTTTTGAGAGTTGGAGGAATTTTTTCAGGCATGCAAAATAGAAAAATGCTTTGTTTCCCTTGTAAGAATAGGGGAAGCTATGTCAAGGTCCCCTGAAATAGTTATTTCTGCTTTATGAAAACCTGGTGCCTCCACCTCTGTGTTCTGTAAGTGTATACAGAGTGCTTAAAATCCTTACGCTTTGGTTTCTCATCAGTCAACTGGAAAGAGGGAGCTGTCTGCCCCCAGGACTGCTGATGCCAGGCCCCTTGAGGTATCAGAGAGAGAGGAGAGAGTGTGGCATCCACGCTGAGACTCACAGCCGCCTGGACTGAGAGCTTCGTCAAGTGTTTGCTGGCACCCACTAAAGGACCCAATGTCCCCAAGGCCCAAAGTGGTTCCAAGGCACCAGCTGTGTTAGAGATCTTGCTGAATGTGTTCACTCCGGCTTTGGGAGGACTGGCTCCACTCCACCTGCGTCAGCCGGGTGTTTCGACAGCTGAGAGCATATTGAGGCATAAATAGCTGAAACTTTAACATTAGTGGGCAATGTAATATCAGTTTGGCTCCACCAAGCCTTCCCTGCCCACCCCGGCCCCCCAGGGCCCTCTCCCTCCCCAGAGCTCCCTCTGTACCTGTTGTCTGGGCCTTTGGTCCCTGCCCTTTACTGCCTGGCACAGAGCCTGGCACAGAGCAGATGCTCAGCCAGCGTTGAGTGAATGAGGATGTGTGTCTGGTGACATCTCTACAGCATGTTGGCATATTTATTCCTTGCTGGCTCTACTTGACTCCTTTGTGTGTGTGTGTGTCACTTAGGTTTATTTTGAAGGTTGCCTCACTGAGTATTATTCTAGTAAAGGAATGGTTAGGTGTGGTGCTGTTTTCTGAGGTTGAGGCAGATCTCCAGAGCGTTTCATTGTGTAGCTCTTACCCCAGAGCCACTAAGAGAGTACATCCTAAGTGTGGAGTCTGGTGGCCCCTTATTAAGCTTAACCTAAGACTCTCTGAGCTCTGTCTCAAGCAGTGGGTGTTGTCGCTGGCAAGAAAACATGGGGCCATGGTAGAAGGGGAGTGGGAGGACCCCTAGGAGGGGTGGCCACCGGGCAGTCTCCAGGGACTGGGTGCCTGGACTGAGATGGTGAAGCAGAGGCTGCTGGCCTTCCCAGGGAAGCTGGCTCAGCACCGCCTGCTGCTCTGGCGTGGACAACACGTTATGGCTGCTGTCTTGGTCCACAGAGTGAAGGCGTTCAGGCCCAGCCCTGACTCCTATATCTTAGAGGCATTGTGGACAGTGGGCTAGGTGCCCATCGCTGGGGCCTGGCTTTGCCATTAACCCTGTGATGACCTCAGGAGAGTGACTTGACTTCTGTGCCTCAGTTTCTAAACATTCTACAACTCTGTGGTCCCATCAGCCCTCTCACCATGATGAGCTCCCACCTCTAGTTATTCAGTGTTAGACTGCCTCCACCCCCACCAGGCTCCCCACCCACCCAGCCTGCAGAGCCTCTGGCCCAGTCTTTACATTAAGTGCATCATCCTCATATTTGCTGGGTCCCCCTATTGTCCAGCTGCTTGGCTCATGTCAGGTAATCGAGATTTTAGTTGTGGAGAGGAGGTGGGGAGCAAAGGGGCAAAAATGCGAATATAGGGGTGGGTGTTTGTCACTCACCTCACAATTCCCAATGGATGAATCTGTGCTTGTATCCAGATACGGGCAACTCAGCTGGATGATTCTTACCATTAGTATTTTGACCATGCCGGTCTTTTAAAAAATCCTTCCCAAGGATATGTTTTTACTGATTTTAGAGGGCAAGAAAGGAAGAGAGAGAGAAATATCAATGTGAAAGAGAAACATCGACCAGTTGCCTTCCCTACATGGCCTGACCAGGGATTGAACCACAACCTAGGTGGTGGGAATTGAACCTGCAATCTTTTTGGTACATCGGACGATGCTCCAACCAATTGAGCCACCTGGCCAGGGTATGCTAATCTTTTTGTTTTTCCTTTCTAACTTTTCCATTACATAGTATAGGCCTCTGGGCATTGGGATTTCACCTGGTGAAACTAGACTTGGGTTCCAGCTGAGGCTTGTGAATGACGAGACTGTGTAATTTTTTATTTTGGTTAATCCTTACCCGAGAATATTTTCTCCATTGATTTTAGAGAGAGTGGAAAGGAGGGAGGGAGGGGTAGAGAGAGAGAGACAGAAAGAGAAACATCGATGTGAGAGAGACACGTCAATTGGTTGCCTCCTGCACATGCCCCGACAGGGGCTGGGAATCAAACCTGAAACCCAGGTAAGGGCCCTTGACTGGGAATCGTACCCGTGATCCTTTGGTGGATGGACCGATGCTCTATCCACAAAGCCACACTGGCCAGGGCAAGGCTTTGTCATTCTGATCAAATCAATAACCTTTCAGGGCCTCAGTGTTCACATCTGTACACTGGAAACAACAATGCTAACATTCATTCAGGGTTCATATGAACAGAAGGGAAGCCCAGTACCTGTCCCGTCTCAGCCACTGGTTGATGGCCAGGTGGGGATGCTGGCTGGTGGCAGGATTTGTGCTGAGCTGGCAGAGTGACTCTGAATTAGTGTCCCTGAAGGCCACAGTGATACCCTAGTCATGTGAGTCTGTGTCCCCACAGCGGCCAGTTTGCCATTGTGAAGAAGTGCCGGGAGAAGAGCACCGGGCTGGAGTACGCAGCCAAGTTCATCAAGAAGCGGCAGAGCCGGGCCAGCCGGCGGGGCGTGTGCCGGGAGGACATCGAGCGGGAGGTGAGCATCCTGCGGCAGGTGCTGCATCCCAACATCATCACGCTGCACGACGTCTTTGAGAACCGCACCGACGTGGTGCTCATCCTGGAGCTGTGAGTGGGCGGCCGGGACCCATGGTGGGCAGCAGGGACAGGCCGGGCGGCGGAAGCTCCAGCCACAGGCCCCAGAGGAGATGAAGTCAGTGGTGGGTGGTTGCCCTCAGTGACCCCCAGCCTCCTTCTAAACCTGGGGCAAAGCAGGGGCCAAGCAGCAGGAGAGAGGGTGACAGTCTAGGTCTGGCTTTCATGGGCCCTGGGGACCAAAGGGAAGGAATGGCTGGCTCTGGGTCATTTCCTGGCTGGCAGGCAGGTGGGAGGATGGAGCGGGGAGCGGAGGGGCCAGCAGGGGAGATTGTCAGGCAGGGGTCTGTTCTATGACCAAGGGAAGAACAAACATCCTTTGGGCTCTGCAAAGCCCTTCTCCAGCCCTTTCCTGGAAAAATCTACTGCATTTGTGCTGTGATGCCTTTATTGTTATAATAACTATTATTTAGAGAGCATTTGCCACATGTTTCATGCTTGTCATCTGTTCAGTCCTCCCGGGGACTGTGATGAAGGAAGTATCCTACCAACACAGAGAGGTTACTTTGCCTTCACTGTGCCAGGAGCATCTCTTACCTCATCTATTCCTCAGACTAACCCTATCACACAGAGACTCTTCTTATCCCCATTTTACCAACAAGAACACTGCAGCCAGGTCACTTACCAGATCTGTTAGCCAGGAAGTGGTGGGGTTACCGGACCGAACCAGGTCCAAACTTTCAATAGTAGCCAGCCAGAGGACAACACAGATGATTTTATGGAAAGGAACTTTATCGCAGGCTTATAAACAAGGAACATGCCGGGGATCGCTCCCAGAACAGTGTTCCTCAAGCAAAGCATCTGATCCAATTTTATTGGGGGGAATCATGCCTAAACATCAAGGTGAGCTTTGTCATTGAATGTATAGGTGGGGACATGCCAGGGCACCGACAGTTAGAAAACTGGCTATACATACATCGCATATTCAAAAATGGTGGGAAACTCCGCCTCTGGTTGGAGATTTTAGTATTATAATGAGAATATAAGTAATGAGGAAAGTTCAGCAGGAGGTCACTGGAGGGTCTTTCAAGCTGGTCTCATGGTTTCAGCTGGTTCACCCCCTGGTTCTGCAAAATGTCCTGGGCTTGTTCCTGAAAAACAGTCCGGATGACCCTCTACATGGGGGATTGCAGTCATTATGGAAGGAATTTTAGCTGATTACGTCTTGGTCTTTCTGTGAAACTTAGCAAATAAGAGATATGCATCACACAAACCATATAAACTCTAGGGTGATCTAAGTGAGGCTCCAGGTTAATCAGGGCAAAGTTAGAAACTCTAAGCAAAAAGTTAGTTTATGCTAAGCTACCTGCTAGGCTACATATGTGGGTTAGGTTGCACCAGGTCTTGAGTCCACACTGCTTGTGCAGACAGCTGTGAGCATGAGGTAGGATGGCCTTATGCTGGCCCATCCTGGTGGAATTTGGATAGGTGACACCAAGTTCTCAGGGATTGTCCCTCCTGGAGGTGTCTCCATGGAATGGGGATGTGAGGTTCCAGCAGACAAGCGAGTTTGAGTTGGGCTGTGGCACAAGTCACAGTGGCTGTGCCCAGTCAGGCAGCAGCACACTGTGCTGAGAATGTTCTGAGCCTCGTAGGCATGTATGCATCTGCCCGTTAGCCGAGGAGTGGTGGCACTTTGACCTCGGGCAAAGTCACCTCATCCACCTGAGCTTCAGATCTCATCTGTAAACCAGGCAGCCATCCTTAACCTGCCTACAGGAGGGGTGGACCACTGGCATAGGAGATCATTCTAATTTGAGAACTATGCTCTGTCTTGGCCAGGATATAGATTTATGTTGCAGATGGGCATTTGCATGCTCTTGCATTTGATTCTTAAATTATCATCTCAATGTTTAAATGCACGTGTCACCCATGTTCCCCCTTCTCTAACTCCCAGCATCCTCTCTATTTCTCCCATGGACCCCTCAGCCAGTTGGACTAGTTGGCGTATGCACCCGCCTGGCCCAGACATGCCTGGTGGGTTCCCTCAGTGAGGCCAGCCATGTGGATAGCCCACGGTGGGACATGCCCCAAGGTCACCGGTTGGCACACGGATTCCCAGCAGAGAGTGACAAGCCCACCTTCACTGGGAAGGTCAGGCCACTCCTTTAAAAAGTCTATTATCAGAAAAACTTTACAGCGACTGAAAAGAAATTACATTCATAATCCTACCACTCAACCATAGCTATTTATGTTTTTTTTGTGGTTCCTCTCTTCTTATCTATTTGTATACAATCATCGTCTTTATAGATTTTCCTGCTCTACTTTCCCTCCCAGTTCACATAATTCCATAAATAGATTTTTTCCTTTTAACTAACTATATCATGTTTCATTAAATTACATACCTGTCTTTCTCTCTTGTTGGTTATTTGGTTTTTATTTTCCAGCTTTTAATCATTACAAATTTTACTGCCATAAAACAATCTTCTTCCCATAATTTCCCCCTTTTGTTTTTAATTCATTCTTTCAGATAAATCCTCAGGACTTGGATGACTAGGCTGACATTTTCAGGGCTCCTGATATCCTCACTTTCATACATTGGTGTGGTTAACCAGTACCACCTGCAACACAGCAGTGTTCCTATTTGCCTGCAGGCTTGCTAGCCCTGCATCACTTATTTTAAAACAGGGTTCATTAATTATTGACCCGTATAGTTAGAAAATGATACTTTGTTGTCATTTCTTTTGTTGTTGTTAATCCTCACTTGAGGATATTTTCCCACTGATCTTTAGAGAGAATGGAAGGGAGGTTAAGGGGGGGGGGGAGAGAGAAAGAAACATACATCAATGTGAGAGAGACATATCGATTGGTTGCCTCCTGCTTGCACCCCAACTGGGGCCCAGGATTGAACCTGCAACCAAGGTACGTGCCCTTGACTGGGAATAGAACCCTCAACCCTTTGGTCAGTGGGCCGACTCTCTAACCACTGAGTCACACCTACCAGGGCACTTTGTTGTCATTTTAAGTGGCATTTCTGTAATTGCTGGGGAAATTGTCTGTTTCTCCCTGTTTATAAAACCCCAGGAGTTGGGGTCTGGGATGATCTTTGGATGCCCCTGTTTCTCCTAGCAGGTCTCATGGTCAACCAACAGTTATGTGCCTTCTTGAGAGCTGTCACCATTCATATCATCCGTTGTCACACTGCTGCTCCTGTGACTTGCTTGAGCTGCTGTGTTTGTTGAGTTCTGTCTGTTCCTAGTTTCTCTGTCTCCTCCTTACTTTCAAGCTGTCTCACTGCTCTCAGGGAGCCTGTCTGTGCACGGGGTGCTAGGAGTTGCCAAGACTGTCCCTAAACCATGCCTGCCCCAGGGAATGAGAGGGAGGACCTCCTGGGAGATAAGGGCTTTCCATGGGCTTTTGTGTTTGGATTTGGTGACTCCTGTTGGGCTGAGCAGGAGCCTTTGGCCTCCTGGTCCTCACTGTGCCTGGTAGGTTAGTGGATTTGCCCAGTAATTAAGCATGGGTATTAGTGCCCACCTGCTCAGTTGTAATTTGCAAGTTTGTGGTTGGGTTTACACTGATACCACTGCCCTCTCTCTCAGCACCTATCGTCTGGGGTGGGCTTCCTCCTGATTTCTGCTAAGGTGTCCAGCACTAGGTGGACATACCCAGCCCTGATTTAGGTCCCTTTCAGCTGTTATTACTTCAAACATGACCTCTTTAGCAGCAGCTACCTCTGGTCAGGGCTGTTGAAGGCCAGGCTGGGGAGGATTTAGTTGTCCGTATAATTGATTTCTGTATGTTATATAGAATATATTCAAAATCTCAATAGATTAGCTCATGTCACATGTGAAGCTTGCTCTGGAAAACATACGTCTGCTCTGGGAGGGTTGGGCTGGTCTCCCATCCCAGGCCCCTGGCCTCTCTGGGGCCTCCTTGACTCTACGCTAGTGGGAAGCGGGACACTGGCTGTTGCATCTTGGAGAATGGCCTGACAGAGGACTCCAAGGTGGAGGCAGTGCGTCCCAGTTCCCAAATTGAGTCCAACTTCCTCGGCCCCGATGGATCGGTCAGCATTCTTCCAATCCCTGCCTGCAGGTCATTCGAACGCACGTTCCTGAGAGAGTTTCTAGCAGGGAGACCAACCTGCAGGGAGGAAGGAGGCCTAGGTCCGATGAGCAGGAAGGGACCTGATGGTGGGGACAATGGAAGGAGAGCAGAGGAGGCCCCGCTGTTAGGTTTTGCTTTGCATCTTTAAGCTAAACGGGGTTTGGGATGTGAGCGGAGAGAAGCTTGGGAGGAGGTGGGCAGTGGCTCCAGGGAAGAGGGCTTGGGGCTGAGAAACCCTTGGGAGAAACTATTTTGGGGGAAAATGAACAGAATCTTGAGACGAGTTGCCTGAGCATTGATGTGAGTGACCCCAGCATGGGTACCTAGGACTGGTATGCTCATCAGTCTCCCCTTTTCTGAGTCTCTGGGGGAGATTCTAAGGGCAACTGTGACTGTTCCCGTCTTCATTCAAAGGAGACATGGTCTCACCTGGTCTCTTGCCCACATCACACCTTCAAACAGAATGGCAGGTGTCCCCTGAAGTTGTCACATAGCCTTTACATCAGGGACTTTGGGTGACCGGACACCGTTACATCACCATGATATTCTTTTGCATTTATGCAGCATTCCCTCTAAGGTGGGAATGGCAAGATGTGCCCAAGGTCACCACCTCACAGGATCCAGCAGGGTCTTGGATATTAGAAAGCAAGGGCTGCTGGGTCCTGTGTGTCTCAGACGGGGCACTATGGTTTTGAAAATCTTCAAAGTGCTCTAGACAGGTCTCTTACAAAGGCCAAGGCTTCCCTTCTATACAATCTAGATTATTCTATGTCATGTTTATATTTAAAAATTTTTCCTTTGTTCTTTTATTCACTTACCTTCTATTGAATGTCTTTCTCGCACAGGGTGCTGCGGAAGCAAAAATAATCCAGCTGGAGAGATAGACAGACAGTGATACCCAGTGTGATGAGGGCGTGGGTGCTGCTGAGCAGGCATCTCAGAGCACATGCCCAGGGCCTGGGGTGGCTTCGAGCTATCCCTTTCACCTCAGCAATTCCAGCTTTGTAACGTGGTGGACTGATGCTGAGAAGATCTGTGTCTAAATGGTGGTTCTGTCACTTACTAGCTGTGTGACCTTGGGCCAGTCACCTGCTCTCTTGGGGACATCAGTTTTCTCATTTGAAAAATCAGAACAGAAGTTCCAGCTACACCTCAGGGTGGATGTGAAAGAATGCTTGAGGAAGCACATGGCAGAGGTGGCAGACTCTAAATAAACTCTAAATGAAGCCCTTCACCACCGTCACCCTGACAATGATGTAGCATAGTATTTACTCAGAGATCATGGTATTTATTGAGGCTCTCATAGCACTTGTCCAATTTTACAAGATTCTTCCCACCCACCCCAGGTGGGGATGGGGCAGAGGATGACCTCACCTGTGAGACACAGGGGGAAGTAGTGCACCAGCCTCGTCCCACACACTTCAGCAACTGCAAGGGTGCTCTAGTTCCAGCACCTGCCCCAGGTGGGGGTGGGGCAGGGATGACCTCACCCGTGAGACACGTGGGGAAATAGTGCACCCGCCGTGTCCCACGCACACCCAGGCAGCCACTTCAGGCCACACCCAGCTCACTCTGAGTAGAGGGGGCACTGCAGCTCTTGCAGACAATATGCTTGCATGTGCCATCTTATCTCACCCTCTCTTCACTCTCTCACCTCCCCCTTCTCTCTTTTCTGCCCCCTCTCTCCTTCTCTAAATATTTACTCAGCATCTATTATGTGGCAGACACTAGTCATACAGATGAGTACCTAACTCACGGCTCCTGCCCTTGAGAAGCTCACAGCCCAGCAGGAACATGCGCTTCTGACATTGGTCCATCTACTTAAGGGAGATATTTTTGGCTCCACTTGGCAGATGGGAAAAGACTGAGGTGGAGAGAGACTCGCTAGGAAGTGGCAGAGCAGCATTCCAGCAGGCCTGCACCTCACCTCCAAAGCCAGCCAGGGCACAGGGAGTTAGTGCTACGTACATGTTCCATGCTCACCCTCACCTCTGGGCCTTTGCTTGTGCTGTTTCCTGTCACACCTGTCCTCATTCTCTGCTTCCTCCGTCCAGGCCCTGCCCGAGTCTCACTGCGTTCCCAGCACCTTCTCCCACCACTTGAGCCTGTGCTAACCACATATAACACAAATAATGACATCATAACAGAAGTCCCCATGGATGGAGCGCTGTCATGTGCCAGTCACGGTGCCAAGAGCCTGGCTCGGTGCGCTGGCTAATTTGCTCATCAGAACAAGCCGAGCATGTAGACCTTCTCATTACCCTCCATGTCTGAGAGACATTGCTGAGAGAGTTAGGGCAACTAGTCCCAGTCACACGCTAGTGCATGGAGACAACACCAGACAGAGGCCGGGGCTGGGAAGGATTTAGTTGTCCATATAAATTGATTTCTGTATGGTGCAAAGATTTCTGTATTTTCAAAATCTCAATAGTTAACTCATGCCACATGTGAAGCTTACTTGGAGCCTGTTTCTTCAACTGTGAAATAGGAAAGAAATAGTGCTTTCCTCATAGGGTATTGTGATGATTAAATGAGATAATGTGTATACAGTATACATAATGCACAGGGTAAGTATTCAATAAATGTTTATTACTGTTATATTGTTATTGTAAAGATACAAGTTCCAAGGCTCTGCTGCTTGAGGCTATAATTCTGTAGGGTCTGTAGCGGGACCTGGGAATCTGAATTTTAGCACCACTCTCTAACCAACTGAGCTAACCGGCCAATGGGAATCTGAATTTTAAATGCATTCTCTCGGTGAGTTCTTGGATCACCTGTCCCAGGTCCCTCCCTGAGACCTTTTCCTGGGGTGACCCTTGGCTCTGTCCCAGCCCCCGAGAAGCACATGCAGGCTGGATACCCCAGCCTCTGACAGAGGACCAACAAGCCCAGAAGGGGTGCCAGATTTAGCACATAAAAACCTCCTGCTTTACCTGGCTATCCTAAACTCAGATAAAGCTGTAAACTAATACTCACAGGGGAGATTCTTTTTGCTCTGTGGGTCTCCATTTCTGTCACATCAACTATAAGGTGCAAGAGTGTGGAGTGTGAGGACAAAAGTATTTTATAGTTTTTAGAGGTTAATATAATTAGTGGGTCTTTACGTTTAAATTAGGGACCTTTGATGAGGCCATCTGTTATAAAATCAAAGAAAGGGGCTTTAGGAGCCATCTGGCTCCATCTGCTCATTTTGCAGGGGAGGAAACTGAGGCCTGCCTGGAGGGGGAGGTGAGTTGCCCAAGGTCAGTGCAGGGCGTATGTTACTTTCTCCACCTACAGCACTTGTTTCTGTCCTCTGCCACCTCAGTCATATGTGGGGGAGAGGTAACCAGGGCCCTGGGCCTAGCGCCTTCGCCTTCGCAAAGACCTTTCTGGTGACACCCTCAGGATGGGTCCTGCCCTTGTGAGCCAAAGGGAAGAACACAACACAGAAGCCAAGTCAGCCCCTGGTTGGACGAAGCCCCAGAGATGGGCGAGGTATTCTGCCACTCAGGGTGCTCAGGGGTCAGGTTCAGGACCTGGAGCCATCGGCCTGGCCTCCGGGCACAGGGCTGACTGGGCTTCCTGCCGGTGTCTTGCAGAGTGTCCGGAGGAGAGCTCTTTGACTTTCTGGCCCAGAAGGAGTCGCTGAGTGAGGAGGAGGCCACCAGCTTCATTAAGCAGATCCTGGATGGAGTGAACTACCTTCATGCCAAGAAAATTGCTCACTTTGATCTCAAGGTCAGTGAGGGGGGAGGGAGGTGAGGGAGAATAACCAATTTAGGAAGAATGGGCCCAGTCTCTCCCGATGTCATTGCCAAGAGGGGTCAGTGCCCACGTGGCTCTCCTCCCTCATCTTACCGTTGAAAGCTCTGAGCTCCTGGGAAAGAAAGTGTCCACCTCCCCAGGTTCATTGAACAGATTAGGATTTCTTCACATAGGCCGACTGCAAGAAGCTTAATCAGACCACAGGCACCTTATCTCTTTCAGGAGCAGATGGTGTAATTTTTAAATAAGTAGACCAATGACAGGAAACTTGAGACCAAACACATTTAACAAGATTGAACTTTTCAGTAAGAAAGAGCTAACTCCTGAGGAGGCAGGTCTAGAAGCGTTCAGAGGGGACGGCTGAGGTTGGTTGGCGCTCCAGACCCAGCACAGTGCAGCCTCCAGCATCCCTTGACCAGAGGTTGTCTCTCTTGGAGCCCAAGACCACCGGCCTCCCGCCCCCACCCCGCCCCGTACTGTGGCCATCAAATTGCTTCCCAGGGGCCACTGATCGTTTGTGGTAACTGTTCTTCAAGGTCGAGAAAGTTCACTGTGACCACATAGGACTTCAAAAAGCAAGAATGTGGTCAAAGTAGGATGATCAGTTCCTGTAGAAACTGAGCTCCTTTGCAACGACTGATGAGTCTGTAAGACACCCAAAGCATGAAGATCTCTAACCCATGATCAGAGGGACCTGTTAACTGGGGAGGAGACCCACTCATTTTTCTATCCAGAAACTCCTGTTGTGTTTCAAGCACTGTGCTGGGTGCCTGGATATTGCTACAGATCCAGAATCAACTGAGGCCCTGTCTAGGCTTAGTTCCTCTTTTTCAGGGAACTTAGTACAGGAGGCAGAAGAGAAAGATCAACAACTCTAAGTGCTACAAGAGAGGGAAGTACGTGGGGCTGGGAGCCTAAAGGAGAGGCATCTAAGTCAGAATGGGGTATGTGAGAGGGCTTCCTGGAGAAGGTGGTATTTGACTTCCGTTTTAAAGGACAGGCCTTATCAGAGGGGAAGGGCCTCCTTAGGAAGAGAGGCCAGCAGGGTACATGGTCCCAGAATACTACAAAGTATTCAGGGAAGTAAGGCAAAGAGTGAATGTGCTGAATGGCTGGAGAAGAAGTCAGGAGAAGAGAAGGAGGCAGACATGAGGGCGTGGGAGCCTAGACAAGGAGATAGAACTTTATCCTGTGGGGGCCAGGTGAGCAAGGAGGTGAGGTAAGCAGGTGTGTGGTTCAGAAGGATCCCTCTGACCAGGAGGATGGATAGAATGGTGGCAAAACACTGGAGGCTGGAGTCCCAGCCAGGAGGTTATACATTTATCAGGTGAGATGTGACAGGTGTTAAACTAATTTGAGAAGGGGACAGATGTAAGACCTATTTCAGAGGTTGATCTGAGGATTGGTTGGGTGCCTGATTAGATGTGGGAGATGAGGAAGAGGGCAGAGTCCAGGATGACACCCAAGTTCTGACTTGGGGGACTGGTCCAGAGGGTATGGCTTATCTACTGCCTCACAGCAACTGCAGAGGGTGGGCTCTGTTCCGGCACATGGATCTCACCCCGCATTTATTCTGCGTTGTGAGGTGTCCTGTAGTGAGTCCCCACCGCATGGTTCCCCCTCCTAATGCCAGTTGTCATTATCTCGCAGTATATTGAATTCCTCCAATAGAAGATGTCTTACAGAGCTCCACTGACATGTCAAGGGGTAAAAGTTGGGGTCACCAAGGAGGGTGTGGCCTGGGCAGACCTTTGGACCTCAGTATGGTAAGACATCAAGTAGGAAACGCACTACCCGGATTACACCTGTGCCTCCTTCCTGGTAATACTATGGACAGTGAACTTGTTTTCATGTCTTTGCTGGATCCAGGAGACCAGTCTCAAAATGGGCTTCTTTGTCTGTTCTCTAATGGGTCCACACACTCTAAGGATACTAGGGTGGTGGGTGTTAGCAGCATCCTCGCCCTAACACCCACAGGAGGAGTTGTGGAGGAGGAGGAGGAGTTGTGAGGCCCGCAGGCCCCATGACTACAGCAGGTTCATGCTGTATAGTTTGCTCTATGGCAGCTCTCAGTGGTGGTGGTGTGGGGCGGTGTGGGGGGAGGGGGAAATGCTGGCTGGGAGTTAGCCAGGTCAGGGTTTGTGTCTCTCTCTACCGTGTACCAGGATACAACTGAACCTCGGTTTTTCAGCTTCAATGCAAATAATAATACCTGCCTGGCAGAGTTGTTGTAAGGGTTAGAGAGAAGTGGCATGAAGTGCTGAATACCAAAGAGGTGCTCTGAAATAGTAGCTGGTGTTGTTGTTTCCCTATCTAGAACAGAGGAAAAGAACACACAACTCTTGTCACAGTGTTTTGGGCCCCAATAGACTAGGAAAAAAAGCCTGTTGGTGCAATTTAAATTGCCCAGCAGAGAGCTGAGATTGGTTGCTAGGTAGGGCTGCTATGGAGGATCTTGTCTGGCTCCTGGGCTCAGTCTGGACATTTTCCACAATCGAGGCAGTCTGGGTTTCTCCTGGATGCGTGCAGGGCGAGGATGCTGCTAACACCCACCCCCGCCTCATGTCCTTAGAGCTGTGTGGACTCAGCCTTCTGACTCCCCCACCAGTGGGTCCCTTGGCCTGGGCCCAGCTAGGCACCTTCAGGAAGTGATAAGTGGCTGGAACTCAGCGAGCTGACCTCATGGTTGGATAGACACTTCCTGGAGCCAGAATGTGCGTGTGTGCGCCCCCTGGCTGAAGCTTTCCGCCGCCCGTTGGCCTGGGCCCAGCTAGCCAACTTCAGGAAGTGATAAGTGGCTGGAACTCAGCGAGCTGACCTCATGGTTGGATAGACACTTCCTGGAGCCAGAATGTGCGTGTGTGCGCCCCCTGGCTGAAGCTTTCCACCCTGTTTTATCCTGTTACATTTTAATTCTGCCTCACCCGGTGAGCCAGGCTAGCCAAGCTGCCTGTTAACATGTGTCCATATTGTGTCCATGTTCCTACCCATGATCTGTTCTTCACTCTCACTTTCCAGCTTGATGGAGGAGGGTCAGCTCTCTGGCCTGCCTTTGGAATATGAATGGCCTCTACTCCTATGTCAGCCGTTGTGCTGGACACGGTGAGGCTCTGTCCCTGCTTACGACATGCTCCCAGCTTTGTGGCAGAAAGCAGACGAATGGACACAAAAATGTTGATAGGCAGTCTTGGTAAACAGATCATGGCATGCTATTGCCCAGAAATCTCTGAAGGATCCTTTTCACCCATAGGATAGATAAATGGCCGCATTCTCAGCAGGGCTTTCAGGCCTTTCTTATGCTGCCTTAGCCTTTAGTCTGGCCTCATCCACCTTCCCCCACTCCAAAACATTAGCCCCACCAACAGGACCACAGATACCGTTCTGGCCTCTCTCCTCCTCTGTTCCTGCTGTTTCCCCATCCAGGAAACTGCTGCTCTTCCTTTCCTATGTCTGTGGACTTCCTGTTCATTCTTCAAGGCCCAGCAGAAACACCATCTGGGAAGACTTTCCCACCCCTGTCACCTCCCAAATCATCACTGAGAACGGACCTGCCTGTCTGCTTCTGTTGTCCTTTGTGCTGTGCAGACGACTGCTGGGAGCATTATCACTGTGAATCATTCCGCGCTTGTGTCTAGCACAGTGACTGACCCATGACAAGTTGTGCAAGTAAGTAAATGAATGAATGAATGAATGAATGAATGAATGAATACCTTAGTAAGACCAAGTGCATGCATGGATGGCAAAGGCCCTTTTATGTTACCTGGAAAAAGCAAAAGAGGTTGCAGGCAGATTTCAATTCAGTGATCTGAACATTTACTGAGGGACTATTTTATGCCAGAGAGTAGAGTGACAAACATCAATGTAATATAGTACCTGCTTTCCAAGGGCTCACCATCTACTAGGAGATGCCATAGTGGGGTTCAGTGAGGCCACCTGAAATAGAAGCTAATCCAAGAAATGTTCACTTCCAAGAGGTAAATTCTGCCCCAGCAAAGTGAATACCATCCCCGTGAGTGCTGTAAATTCGCCACAGGAAGGCCTGCTGGTGTGGGTAGGTGGGTAGAGGTAGATGATGTTGCCCTGTATTTACATTGATGGGAGGGACATGGGGGCTGACTGCCCCTCAGTACCGGCAGCACCTGATGCGCCTTCAGACATGCCTTCCGCGGGATGGATTACCAGGAAATGGGGCTCAGTGCTACACAGGAACCTCGCCCTGGTATGTGATCCCAAGACAAATAAAAGCCTTGTAAAGGGCATTTTTATGTGGTTTTGTGTTTATTTTGGAGTTGGGAGTTTCCTTTCTGAGTAAGGGTGTGACCCCACTCTCCCCGCCCAGCCTTAGCCTAATTCAACTTGAGAATTCAGAAAGAGAAGATCGTTCTCCTTGGGTCTGGCTGGAATAAGAATAAGACATGAGGGTTGAATGAAATTGTATGCAAGCCCGGACCCCAAAACTCTGAAGGGACTTTTTGATCTATATAAATAGTGTTAACAGGAGTGAATTCCTGAGCAAGACACTCCAAAACTCCAAATTCCTCTATGCCCTGTTCATCCTTTGAGCTGTTAAGTTCATAATGTGATGAGGTCTGCTCATCACGCTCTCATAAGAATGACACTAATAATACTTTAAATATATGAAGTACGTTCTAGAATATAGCTTGCTTGTATCTGTTCACTCATTTGATTCCCATGGCCACCCATTGAGATACAAGGTATGGCCATTTTTTTTACACACAAGGCAATTAAGATTCATAGAGGTTAAGTAACTTGTTCAAGATCACACAGGTATTAAATTTAGACTTTAACTTAGCAAGAAACATTTAACAAAGCTGGGTGTCACCAGCTTTTATTTTACCAGATTCTAACAGTGCATATTTCTTACTTGGGTCATGCATGCCTTTTACACACAGTTAATCTAAAGGTCTGTTCTGTGCTATAAATGTATTCTTTATGGTTAATTTCTCGGTTAC